TGAGTTGAGTTTATGTAAGTGATCAAAATATTTCCTGTTTACTTAGAATGTAACTAACACTGGCCTAATAAGTATAAACTATATTAAGTTTGCTTTTACCACTACAATTACAGTAAGGATAAAATAACACGTTTATTCTGAAATGTGCTGTTTTGTTTATGCCACATTTTAAGGTTGCAAGCACATATTTTTATTTGATGGATAAAACAATAAGTGCCCTAGTCACAGAGATTGATGACTATCAGAGACGTAAGATTCACATTAATAAGTGGATACCCACAAATTTTGACGGTTGTCTCCAAAATTATTAGGATTTTTTGCCCCGATGGGAAGACTGGCTTGTTGAAGGCGGAAGTGGCAGGAGGAGCCTTCTCCGAGCGGAGACTTCTCTGAGCTTTTCTGAACATCTAAATATTTATAAGACGATCACTGCTAATTGTTGAATGATTAATGAGGGCACAGGGAAATATTTTTTTGTTTTTCATACCTTGTGGGTGGTTTTCTGCACGAAGGCTGTTGAACACTGTCACATGTGTATCCCATAGCAACAAATGCTACTGGGAGAATTCGATGTGAAACAGTGTGCCTCGGGCAGAGCTGTCTTTGGTTCCGGGGGCTGGGCATAGCCTATGGGGAAACTGTATTATAGAATTTAGGGTTACGACATACGAAAAAATTTTTACTCAGCCCGAACAAAACAATTGGCTGTCAACCCAACTTCTTACTTGCACACACTCTGCCCATGCACACAATGTCAAGAGTTTCCCACAAGGCGTTACAGTTGCAGGCATACATTTTACTGTTACAGGCCAGGCCTTCCCCTTTAACACATACAGGTGATGATGTTGTTGCAGCCAAAAGAAGCTACCTGCATGCAGTGTGCAGTACGAGAATGAAAAGACCGCTGCAAAGAACAGACTCCTTTTACATGCAACCACAGGTGAGGAAAATAGCATCGGTAGCCAGCTCTAAGTGTATAGATAGGACTGTAATGCAGTTAACCATCTTGGTAACACAAACACTGCATGTGGCCTTCGATGCCCAGTTTTGAATGGAGCCAGGCTGAAACTGTACAGTCATATGGAGAGGCTTCTCTTTGTATGATGAGACCTGGTTGCTTAAAACATGCACAGCTGTCAAAGATAATCACAATAGTGGTAATATGACATAAAAACACTCATTTTCCATCTTAATAGCCTCCATTAAACCTATATTTGTTACAATGAAAATTATTGTAAGTTGCAAAAACCTGGACCTTTAATGTTGCGCACAGGCCTGGCTATGCAAATTTGGTGGCGCACGCATGGCACACAAAGCCAAAGATAGATTAACAAATCAGGAATCTCCCTCCTGCCACTCCTGAGAGCGCTAGAGAGGACAAAAGTTACGAATTAGGCGCTTCTCAGAGAGCGAAAGGCAGCTAAGTTTCCTTCATTTTTGTCAAGATTAGCATCAATCTACACGCTTCCAGTTGTGTTGAGGACATTGTGTTGGAAACAAAATTGTTTCTGCTTCAGTATGACTCTGGACCCACATGCCTTGCATGATGGTTTGTTTTAGAAACTTTTACGGAGTAAGCTGCGCACTGCAGGAAAACGTTTACGAAGAATACGGTGACTTACCCGGTTTGCTGGGATTGGTGTCGCTGGATTTGATATTTATAAAGTAGATACATCTGGATTATGTGTGTGAAAGTAATTGGAGTGTTTACAATACAGTGAAACCTAGTCTAGTTAATGCATACAAAATTTTAAATAGCAACTATTTTTAAAATTGTGGCTCCAAATAGATTTTTTTTTCAGGTTTTTTTGTTTTTGTTTTTGTTAATGTAATATCTTTTAAGAAAGACATTAGTTCAACCACCATTTTTTATTTTTCAACTGCAGTTGAGCATTTGAACAAAATATATTTAAAATCTTGCAAAAACAAAATGCAAATAAAAAACTCAAATTATAAATAAAGAATCTGGCCATACTCCCTTGTGAAATTAAGTATTATGCATAATAAATTAAGCCATTACAGCAAAGTTAGGCAAATCTCCATAGATATAACAGTCAAAAGACAAGTAGCATGTCATGGCACTTTCCAAGAGACTAAGCTGTATATGAGTAAGCCCACATCAGTCATTTCCGAAAGACAAAAAACTACATTCTCTTTGGGCTAAAATATGTATTTCTTTAAACATCTTTGTTTTGTCAACTTTCAAGACAAGATTTGTTGAACATAGCAAAACTAACAAAGAACAACTTCTGAAAAACTTCAAAAGTGTATTTAAGTTCCTTGCAGTAGCTCAGTTTGAGAGCATATATTATGCCCATCAGCAAAGCACAGCACCTTGGGCTATCCTTTCCCAGCAGGACTTTTGTTCCCCCCACCACAATGGTTGCCATCCAGTGGTCAAATGCAGGGGGGTAGACCAGTCACCAATGATAGCAATCACTTGCCTTTCAAGGCTGGCTTCAAACTCATCATCGTCCTTGTCCTTGTAAAGCAGAACAAAACAAAATATTATAACATAGGTTAGTGTGCAACAGATAATGGATTAGATGATTAATGGTTACCTTTTAGACTGTAGTCCCTTCTGAATTCAGATAATGAATTGAGCTATTAGTTTATTTTAAGCTTTATCACACAACTAAAGAGCATGTTCAATGACCAAAATACGCTTGTGTGATACTGTCAGAATCACATTACCAACATTTTACACACCCTTTAATGTTGTGAAAAATACTGACTTTAAATTGTATTACAATAGTAACTAAAATAGAGGCAAACAAAAATAAAAGAAACACTGCTTCTACTTCTTTGATTCCTCTCACAGAAATATAGAACTTCAAGGTTTGTAACAAAAACATGCTTCTGAAAAGAATCGCCAACCCTACCTTTAATACCTTTGCACCTAAAATAATTTAGACATCATATGACAAGTATTAATAACTAGAATCTACAGTCTGATAGTATTCCATCTTGGCCATTAGTGTTGCTAAGGGTTTATCTGGACTAAAGCATAACTTTAGGGTTTACAGGGATTTATGCTTTCAGAATAGGAGTCTCTGGTATCTGAACCAGTTTCTTCTTGCTCTACACTCCTTACTAAAGGCTGGTAGATTGAATAAGTGTCTACTTCCTTTCATTTTTTAAACTGTCAACATGAGTCAAAATAAAATCCCCCACCCCATCACACCATACCACTGAGCAAGAGAAGATGATGGCGGTCACTTGCATTGGCTTTTACATCATCTGTTAGAGACTCAGCTCACCTACAGTGGCTGAGGATTCAGCTATGTTTTACTTTGCCCATAATTATTCCCACTGGAATTACCAGAAGTTACTAGTGGTCAGATAAGTCTTTTGTACATGGCTCTAGCATGAAGTCCTGTCTTTTCTTTGTGCTCCCAAGGTCATACCAAAGATGGGTGGGTGAATGTCTTGTCTAGGGTGTGCAGTCCAATCCTGCAGCCCTCCTGTCTGTCAACAGTATGATGAAACTGAGTTTTGTTTACAGTTAGCTGGTGGTTACTATATTTACATCTGGGAACACAAAATCTGAAAAGGAATTATGTGGCATGAAGTAGTTGTAAGCGACTGAGTGTGAGAGTCATGCTGTATTTTAGAGGCAGGGGCACACTCTC